AATGAATAGTTTTTCCGAGAACAAGTTGATTTTCATTCAATTCTCCTCCCAACCAAGATTCGGAGGGCGTTTCAGATTTGGGTCACTTTCAAGAAAACTCTAGATCTTTGATAACCATCTTGAGTCAATTCTGATATTCAGATCTCTTCATCTGAAGTTTTATCTTCAAAATGAGCCTAAGATTTCCAAAATCGGTTGACGTGGAATAAAGTTATGGCTGCAAAACCAAAAAGTTGATTTTTTGAGATCACTCTGTAAGTAAGAGAGATAGGAAGTTGATTCGTGAAATGTCTCGAGGTAATGAGATCATCTTCATGCTTCTGTTGTCGGAGTTGAGAAAAAATTTTTTTTCACCATTTGAGAGCCTTTTGAATATTCCGAAATTTTGCACAATGTCGAAAAACACCATGTAGAGATTTTATGTGAATACCCTCATGTTTCAATGAAGTACCAGATTATAGCTAAAGGACTGGACTATCGAACAGTGTGAACCAAATTCAAATTGTTCTAAACTGAAAAAAGTTATTCTCATTATAACAGGGGCGACATTTTGGTGTGCGACGAAATTAGTGTTGAGTAGTTTATTTTAAAATGACATAAAATAAAATGAAATGCCATTTCTGAAATAGCATGAAATGCCTTGATATCTCTTGAAATGCCATGGAATTCCTTGAAATGCATTCGATGGGTTTTCAATAGAATCTTATCAGCGCCACAGTTGTATATGCAGATTGTTTTCGCCTGTTCTCGTCCTATTATACAGGGTTTTCCGAAATTAGCCTACCCATACTCCAGTAGCAGATTCTTCGACATTAATTTCTATGCCACATGCGTGAAAATGATATCATCACAAAATGTAATTCAGAAGTGTTTGATACAGGGTGGGACTACATTGAATATCGCTCAAACTTTTCTTGAACATTTGATATAGGCTTCAGGTTCAATTTGGCATTATTTTCTGACTCTTGGAAAATTATCGAACCAATATTTCTTGATTCGGTCTTACAACATTTTGGTGCTCGCTCCTTTTTCCAGATGCTTATACCCTTCAACATCAACTTGATGGTTCCTTCATTTAATTAATGTTTCGAAGTCTGAAATGTGTATCTGACCGACAAACGGACCCTTTTTATTTCCATATTCGAGGGAGATCAAACGATATTCACCCAATTCGTGTATACTGTTCCCCAGAGAGTAGAGAAATCTACAACAAACGTTACAAACGTATATGTCTAAGCAGAAGTATCTTGACCCTTCAATCTGATTTATAGCAATTCACGGTTTCATTTGATGTTATCTCAGAGCAATAAAGCAGTAAATTCCGGTAATAGCATCTTTGATAGCGATTTACTGTCACTACGGTCGTGACAAGAATCTCATTCAATGGATCACATGGACAAAGCGAGTATCATTCAGAGAAACCATTGATTACAAGTCAAATGTCAAACATCACAGCACTGACCATGAGATTCAATGAAGTTATTCATGGACATCAGCATACTGAACGGCCTCAGGTGAGTTCCTTGGTGCACACCAGAGGTGGCATTCAATTTCCGATTATATTCGTATACGAATTGCTATAACTGGAAGAAAATGTGATGTGGAGGATTATCTGGACTGACGGCTGTCAGTCATCTTGGCGAATGAAAATAAACAGTGCCATCTCGCTTTTACGTTCAACATGACGCGATTAACAGGGTCTCCGTTACTGAATAGCACAGGTCTTGAAAGGTATACAGATTATACGCACAGGATATTCTCCTACCTATACTGCGTGCAGTAAAGTATCTCTTCAGAAGCAGAGTGTAATCAATCATTGGCAAATCCTTACAAGCAGATTGCAAGGATGGAGCAAACAACTTCCTTGGCAATTTGAGTAGGTATATATTCTACAAGGTGGAAAATTTTCCTACAAAAGTGCAATGCTAGGTGTATCTAAGACAACATTTGGAGAGTTAATCATAGGGGGGTGAAAAATATTATATTATAAACATATTAATTGAGAACTTTATGATAGAAATTTTGAGCCTCTTAGGGAGCGAAATTGATTCTGAAAAGTTACATCTTGTACTGCATCTTGCAAAGACAAATTGACAAATTGAAGTGACATTTGAGAAAAAGTTACAGATCATAGGACATAAGAAAACAGGCACAACTTGTGGCTCAGACAGAACAGAAATGGTTAACAGCAACCGGAACACTTTCATGGTACTGGACAATGTGAATGATGCGACTTAAAACTATTGTAGTGAAGAAATGTTGTAGACCAAACTTGGTAGAATCAGAAAATACCAAGAATCAAGGTACATCTTAGAGATTTCAAAAATTGTTGGGGCAGTCGAAGTGTTTCTTTTCATTGTTGGAACCAACTTCATATCCAGTACACAGCTTCGCGGATGATAGTACCCTCCATACCGCCTTAACTTCCAGGGCTCCAATACCAGCCAGGCAAATCAGAAACGAACGAGGGAGAAATGTTGACAACATGAATATGGACTTGGCAACAATTCTCGAATGAATATCCAATGAGTTGGTTGATTTCAAGGCAAACAAAACACAAGCATGCCTTTTCTCTAGAAAAGCCGATATCAGTGTGCCCAACATAAGCTAGTCAGGAGTAACAATACCTTTGAAGACATCCATTTTGATGCTGGGTATTACTATCAGCAATAACTTTTCTTAGGAAAATCACGTGAGATCAATTGCTAAAAGAGCATGACAGTCCCGCGAGATTAACCCGTCGAGTTGAGGCTTCGCACCCCTTCGTGGTCACTTTGGAGACCTGCAGAACATCTCATTCCAAAGACTCGTCCATCCAACGAACAGCGAGGCACTGGCACACATTGCCAAGGGAAGTGTTTCCCGTGGCATATAACCTCCAGAAATTCAAGGAGAACACCTATTCCTACCTTATTTCCCTTGGTTCTCACGATCTTCTCTGAACATTACAGGATCTTCCTTTTCGTGGAACCAGAACATAAAAATGAAGTTATTTTGGTATTTAAGAGCCGAATTTCAAAAATGTCTAAAATGTTGAGTAACTGTCCTTTCTGACAGATATGTTAAATATCAAGATCCTTATTTCGGCGAAAGAACTGCATCATAAAAGTGGTGAGTTTTTTCAGGAAGCTAAACAACATTGATGGCAATCTGCTTCAGTAGAAAAAATTACTAAAATTGCTCAACTGCTATGCTCTGTTCGTGTTAATAATAATATAGTAAGTTATGATAATTTCTCTGAATTCAACAACACTAGAAGCTTATTTACTATGAGTACTTAGGTACTTCAAATAAATTTCTAATGTGGATATTGAATATTCACTTCTATAAGAACGAAACATTTTGCGCAATCTCCTGATAAGTCACAAATCAATGCTGAACACCGACGTGTAATAATAAATAGGTTAAATCTCGAAACAACATTAATAATAATACTTAATTAACTCCGGAGATAAATGGATTTCAGTAAAAGTTATATTCATCGGTTTATCAAATGTGTAGTTAGTGTCTCCAATATCTCTCTTATAGACGTTCTACGAAGCAACGCTCCGTGTTCTCCTGACCTGTGCTCGTGACCTTTCATCTTGTGTTCTGTGATAGTGTTAGTGTCGAAAATGAGGTACAAGCAACAGGTGACCCGGAGGATAGTTACAGGTTGGTCTTCAGAAATCAAACGATCTCTATAGCAATCTTTTGATCTTCAAATGGTGTTGATGACTCGTGGTTGTTATGAGTTCTGGGTTTATCTCATTCTGAAGATAAACAGTAGTGTTTTCTTATCCAGTTTCTGTAAACTTATAGATGAACTTCCATGTGCCACGTGTGGTGCTAAAGCTGAATGATTATGAGTATCAGTTCGAAACCAAGATAACGTGGTACTACTACATATACTTGTGATATCAATGAGATACGGTCTTCCACAACACATGAGCTAAAAATCCACGTCTGATTTCATTTCTTTCATATTATTATTATTATGAGAGAATGAGGTTCTTGAACTTTGAACCCCTAGGTTTGGATGTAGAAATTGGATTGGATTTTCGAAATGGGTCAGAGACAGCATTTTTTCATCACTAGCTATAGAACCACTCCTTTCCATGAGTGTGTTTATTTTACCAAGGTAGTTTTCGTCATTTCATGAACTACAAGTCAATAAATATATAGCCACCTCTTTTATAATCAACCCGAATTCACTGTTCTGATGTGAGATTAGCAGCAATGGCACTCGAATCTAGTAGGTATTATCACAGAAAATAGTATATTGTGCATCAAGTGGGAAAAGTTCAACTTTTCTCACGAATGTGAAAGTTTGTAGCACGAGCCAGAAGGGCGAGTGATGCAAACAGACGAGTGCTTTTTCCCACCTAATTCTAGAAAAGAAGAAAAGCTTCCTTACGATTTTTTTGTAAATATTGTCTACAATAACACCAAGATATTTAATTTCATTTACAATTCCTATTCTGTCACCATAAATTCCTATGTTTATGTCCTGATAATTGATTTGACTTTGTTTGTACTTAGAAGTAATAACCATAGCTTTAGTTTTCTGATGATTGAGCTTCAACTTATTTATATTCAGAAATGATGATATTCTATTCAGACTCCTATTTACTTTACCTATAGCAATATCCAAATCTTCATCACTTGCTGCAACAAGACTAACAAGAGTGTCATCTGCAAAAAGTTTCATGCGAACTCAATATCTTCGATGAAATTAATATCATTCAGGTAGATTATAAAAAGAAATGGTCCTATAACACTACCTTGAGGAACACCCGTGTTGATACATTCACTAGACGAAACTTACTCATTAACTTTGGTCATTTATTCGAATGTAACCTTGGAGCAATATCAGCCCATTTGTCAAGGTTTTCGATATTTTACTCGAGGACAGTATTACCTGGAAGACCAACATATCTCACTCTGTGGAAGCAACAAAGTTTACAAATGAAATGAAAACATCGCATAAAAATAGTTTATATTATCGCGGATTTCTCTTACTATTGTTGGCCACTAGCCAACAAGCTACCATACATCATCCCGTAATATTGGAGTTTACTTTCTGGATCACGATTCGAATTACCTTTCGAGCGTGACTTTCTAAAAAGAAAATTCAACGTTTCAACGACTCTGAAAACAAATATCGCAACTGTCACGGATAAGGTAAATGTTTATGATGCTGATAGTTTCTGGTTTGTTTCGAGAGCAAAATTGCCAGATGAAACTGCGGGAGGTACCTATCTCAACTATCGAATTTGTTATTGGAGAAAACACGAGGAATCCTAGGTGATTGATAGTTTTCAAACGTTATTGAAATCGGAGAGTTGATATAGTCAAAACAAACAGTGTCTTTTCTAAATTGTTTGAATGAGCTCGAGTTATCCGCATCAGACAGAAATAGACTTATTCATGCTCTGTCAGGAAATTATGAAAATATTTGTGGTGCATCATCGTGTTCCTATCATACAGTTATGATGCGTTTCAGATCATAATCGGGAAAGGACCTTGCACGAAAACACGGGAAATTGGCTCTCGGTCGAATTGGCTGAAATTATACTATGTTGTTGTGGGATGGCTCATTAGAAAAATATGTGAGTTTGAAAAGTTTTGTATGTTTAGTTTCTGAGATATAAGCCGACAAATTCGTAAAAACTTCATATCGGGGTAGGATTGACAAAGAAAAAAACAGTTTTTTTAGTATTGATAAAAGAAAATAAGCTAGAAAATGTATTGATCGGAACTCAAATACATGTCTAGTTATGATCACATAAATTTTCGGAAAAAAAATTCGAGCACTATTCCAAAACTAACAAGTTATATTTTGGTGAGACATTATAGTTTCAGTCTATAGTAGGCTTCGAAAACGTATTTCCATTCTTGATAACTATCTCTGTTCGAAATATAAATTCTTTGAATTTTGTGGTATACCTTTTGGAAAACAATTGACAGCTTGTTTTTTATCACAAAAAAATGGATTGATTGATACAATTGATTTATCGAAAGCTGAGGTAACTCACTAGCGAATTCAGTTGTCCAATATTGCTTTTAATTCAGATACAGGGTGTGTTAGATTTTCTCAAAGATTATTCAACATGTTTCAATTGAATATCTCGAATACACTTCCGGTAATTTGGATCTCATTTTACTGACACTATTTTGAATATGTTGACTATCATATGCAAAAAGTTTTTCAATTTTTTTTTGTTTCGTTTCTGAGATATGCATTCTTGAGATTACAGTATTACTGGTATTATAGGGTTATTACCTCGGTGATAACCCAATAATACCTGTAATACTGTGAACTCAAAAATTGATATTTCAGAAATGAAACATGAAAAATAGAAGAACTCCTTGCATATGATAGTCAACATATTCAAAATAGTGTCAGTAAAATGAGATCCAAATTAACGGAACTGTTTTCGAGATATTCAATTGAAACATGTTAAAAAACCTTCAACAAAATCTAACACACCCTGTATCCAAATGAAAGGCAATATTGAACAACTGAATTCGCTAGCTGATATTTTTTATCGAACTATTACAAAAATAAAAAAGCCTTCTTATTTCAAATAATAATAACTATTCCATATTAGAACAAAAAAAGGGAAAACAGTGATTCTCATTGAGAAAAAAAAGAAAATCAAAATATACTCCAACTATAAGTTGGTATGTGTATATAGTTCTCGAACTGAGGACCTGCAACAAAAAGAAATCATGGAAGAAAGCGTCTTTCAAATTTGTAACACGTGTCTACAAGCACAAAACCTACGTTTTCTCCTGTAGGGCCATGTCTTTCATGAATGAGAGACATCAAAAAAAGAGGGGGAACCTACTAAAAATAAAACAGAAACACTAATTTGTTGGTGAAAAATGTATTCTGGCGTAAGTCTTCCGATCATAGCTTGGCACGCAATGTGTTGAACGCCCTAGCGAATCACCCCCTGGAATTTCGTTCTGTAGTTAGGAAACACCCTGTATTCTCTCATTGGTTGATGGATATCTGAAACTTGAAAATAATGGCTGTTCTTTAGATACGAAGCGGACGATCCACTCACAGGTGTAGAGTTTGCACCTGTTCATCAGACAGGTATAAAGCGTTCAGCCATTCGTAATGGACCCCACTCTATCTTGTCTTCTTCGCTTCAAATAGAATGAACTACACCATTTCATCTCAATTTCTTGAAGAAATATATCTCAAGTAACTCGAGACGGATGACTGATCTTCGCACTTCAACGAACGATGCGCAATTGAGAACAATTGCACTGATGTGACGTATTTTGAGTGTTGCCCGGATTTGGACGAAATGGAAAAATTAGCTAAAATGAGATGGATGCTGTCTGTATACGATGGATATATTTAGTATTATTCGAGCCCATGAATTACCGCGACCCTTTCATTAATGTACTCTCCTTTCACTATCTTTTTATATTCGGTATATGTACAGAGTTTCAAAGTTCGGTGTTTATGTAGGGGACACTGAGAAAAATAGTCGGTAGTAAATACCAAACGTTTAGTAAACTATGGCGCCAGTAACTACATTATTTGGACGTGGTCCTAGCAATGTTGGGACACTCTGTATATTTGAACCTTTTTTTTTCATATTTATTTCATCTATGACGGTGTTAGTGAATTTGAAGAAATACAAAAATATATATTCTAACTGAACCATATTTAACTTTGATTCCCATCTGTATATAAGAATACAACTTCAATCCTTATATAGGCCAACTCAAAATTGTACATTTTTTCCAAACTTTCTCAACGCCACTGGATTATACAGATAATCACCATACTCACATGATTTGTCTGATGATGATAATAAAACAAATGGAATTTTTGTTCATCAGAAACAAATAGGACGATAACAAATCAATATTTGTTACAGCTATCATGACTTTGTCTCAAAAATTGGTATGATGTTCCTTTTTTTCTCGTAGGTATTCACTCATTTTATTTCTTCAAGAGAAATCAATCACCCTGTATATCAAATGAGAAGATGAATTTGCGAATCCAATCGATAAACACGGAGATTTCCATGCATTCATCAACATAATTGTGAAAAAGCTGCACTGTCCTACATTTTTGATTTCTTCAAAATTTCATTTTGATGTGTCCTATCCATCTAGGAATTCGTTCATGCACATGTTCTAGGCCATCCTGTATATAAAACCGAGATATTTATGTAACATGAACTTGATCCATCTTCGTAGGAGATCAATTAACTTCTATCTCTAGGGAGTTATATTTTCCGAGGCCAAGACAGATACTATAACTTCTTGTGTGCTCATATCGCAATATTATAGCATAATGGAGATTTATTAAGGTGATTTTTAGGTTATTATTCAATAAATTACCACTCTGGACCCTTGATTAGTTCGAATACGATACCGTCGGCCATCGTCCAGTTACGGTCACTTGATTAATTCAATTTGCTGCTATCACTAATATGAGCCTTAGACCTTATTTTTCCCATGTGTTGAATTTATATTCCCACAGGTTTTCATCAGGAGACCCCTTGTCGCTGGAAACATCTGTCATCATATCCCAATATGGAGACGTTAATTAACCATAATTCCATTGAAAATATACCATAAAATATTTCTGGTCCCAGAGTATTACCCGAGGCATCACCTCAAATATCTTAGACATGTCCTGCTAAAAATGTTGTACTATAGAGTTCACCCATTATATATGTTGATAATTTATTGACTCACTCCTACTCGTTTTGTGTGGTACTTTCGTCATTTCAGAAAATTAGTTGGGGAAAACAACACCTGAATGTTGGCAAACATTTTATTTTATGACCGGAAATTCACATATTTTTATTGAAAGAACTCTCAATTCAAAAAAGAAAGCCATAAGGTGTACCTTCCAGGAAAAATAATATTTCTATAATAGACAACCCGTTTTCGATTTACAAAAATCAGTTCAAATACCTTTATTGAGATGGTAATGGAACTTCAACCTAGGAAGAAACATATTCATTAAAATGATATGCATCATAAAGTTTACTCCCGAGTAATGTTCCATTTGAACTAGTACATAAATCTATCAAGTAAACAACTATCACGATTCAAGGTGTACACCTGTAAGCATTCATATGTCATATTCAATGTTCCATAACCCGATTTCATGTTCCTTCACATCTTTTAATTGTATCAGACGAATGAGTTGGCATTGAGGTTCATAAAACAATATAGGATTCATATATCTCAGTACATAACTTCTTTAACAATTGCCGAGCATATTTTTACATCTAATTTATTCAATTATTCATCATCAGCCCATATAACTTTCGACACCTTATACACGATGTTCTTTGAACATTATAGGTACCTATTCCCTTTCGTGTGCTCCAAAGGATAACAAAAATCGACATACCTGGAAAAATTCAATTCCTATAGGAAAATGAATGCAATAAACAATACACCAATTATTGTGTGAATGTTTGTTCAACTTAGTACTTGATCAATGAATCCTGGTTATGACCAAATATGGTTATATCCAATATATTAGCGGGAGAACAGAACACCAAACAGTAATATAGGAAGTACCTTCGTTGGGTTCCATTCCATATCTTCATCAGAGGCATTCTTCAAACGGTTGTTATTTATTCTGCTTCATTGAAGAACAAAGTAACAATATACACTAGGAGACTATATCAGTCAGGAGGTATTCAGATGCTTCATACAACATTATATCGATATCCAAAACAGAAAAAGGGTACCGTTATCCAAACGAATATGCTTCCATGGAGTGCAATTTATGACTTGGGTACTAGTTAAAGGGTGAGCTTTTTCATGAAATATTAAATCAGGAGCCCATGACTTGATGGGTATCTACTTCGTATTCAATCAATGACTGGCTGATCAATTTTCGTACCTCAGATGATGACGAACCATCCATTACTGATGTAAAAAAATCAATATTCGAGTCCACTTGGTATCAGGCGACTATAGGTGCATAGAAGACAGTACAGTACCAGGTACCATGGCAGGTAGACTGAGGAGTGACCACTGGTCATTACTACTGACATACTTTTTCTCTTGGTATCTTCAGAAGATATGTATCTGCTCGAAGAACAAGCTGTTTTATTATA